ACACACAACTATGTATTATTATAGTATGTTTGATATGTAATATATGTATACTATTGTATTTTATTGTAATGTATAAAAAATTGTAATATGAAACTNGAAAATTGAAAACACACTTATAAAGAATTGTAATAAAGCAGTAAAAGGTATACTTCTTGGAAATGCAACTTTTCAGACACATATATTTGTGTACGTTAAAACATCTTTGTAAAATATACATGTTTTTTGTGTCTATACATATCTATGTAGTGTTTTTAAAAAAATAAAATAAAATTTACAAAGCAAAGAGCAGCAAATGATGATGTAAAAGAAGATGATACACTTCATGAATTCTGATGCTGTTCGCGCTAAAATAATATTCTTTTCTTGATTATTACGTCTTTTCTTGAATATCACATTTACATTGTGTGAAAAGTTGCAATGTTGTTTCTTATCCTTTTCTGTTCTCTTTCCTCATCTTCTGATCACAAGATCGATCATTTAAATAATTCCAAAATCAAATCCACGTTCGAGTACTCACACACCTGAAGAGTGTAACCAGGTGGATTCGTGAACATAGCACAGAATATATATATATATAGAACCGCACTCTGTGGACTTAACGCGGAATAGAACCATGTTCACATTTGGACATAGCGCACCGACAAGTCGCTCGTGTACATGGTTACGTAGTTGCCACTGTGCACCACCCATGGACATAGCGCTGGCTTACAGGGCGAAAAAACTATTAGTTTATCACATAGCCCTGACCGGTCTCTGATAAAACTGAAAGCAGCCACGGCCAATAATTTGCTGGTATCGCTTTTCCTCCCTGTTTGCCAGCGCTATGTCTGCAGTGGTGCATATTGGTACCTAACGAACCCATGTCCACGAAGATTGTCGGTATGTAAGTTTACCTCGGTTACGCGTTATTTAAATTTAGATCAAGCCAATACGAACACTGATATCAAAAACTGAACGTAGCGCGGACTCACACATCAAAAGTTTTTACATCACAGTGAACGTGATCGCTCTCGAGGTTCTTTTTGACGATAGTAGGGTGGCAGCACGACAGTATTTAAATGGCGAGTCAATGAACTTTTAAAGTCTCAAAACAGAGAAAGATGTAAAGAAAATTCAGATTGTTCATGATTTATTATTCATAATATTCATACATACACACAATAAATCTTAAAGTATTGAAGAATTTGTGAATGAACAATTCTCACGATTCTATGTGGATTCTTGTCTGACAACAGATGTTGTCCGACAAAAGAACACAAATAGGTGAAAAAGAATCTTCAGAATCGTAACACACAAAGATCTTTCTTTTCCAGAAAAAAAACTTTTTTTTTAATCTCTCAAATGTGTTATCTCTGTCTTTATCACATCTTGTCTAAAGTAACAGATATGAGAGATACACATATGAAAAGAAATCGATTAAAAAAAAAGTTACTTTATGATATGTTTGGTCGCCACAATTTCTGTGGTAATTAGTGCGAACGATATTGCGAAGCTGTGCAATTTGTTACTTGCATAATTCGAAGATGATGCATTTGGCAGCGAAAATATACAACCACGCACATCGCGTACAAGGTGAGCTTTTTCTCTCGACCATATATGTAACAAAACTTATAACGCGATAATAATTCACTCACCGCCGTTATGAGTGCAAAACAAACTTACTTTTAAAAGTATTTCTTACATCAAAACCAAATATGACGAGAATTCTCGATTTTAATTTGTAAACAAAACGATCTTTGCGATATATTTGAAATTGATTTTTCGCAAAATAAAACATAGAGATTATTTCAACAGTTAAGATACAATGAATAAAGATTACGAACGCTTCCATTGTATACGGATCAATTGAAGAAACCTCAATGTCAAATTAATTAAAGATCCTGTTATCAAATCAAAACTGAGAGTTCTTGAACTTATATTATAACGAAGGTTAGTGTGTGACATCAAAGCATTTATCAAACGTATGCAGCCTCTTTTCTCTTAATTGACATACTTAGAGAATGACGTGTAATGTCGTTCGTAAAACATCCTGCTCCGCTACGTGAGTAAACGTTCGCTAAGAATACCACAATTATACTATTCACACACGTGTGTGTTAGAATTACAACTTCGTCGGTCATTTTATGCAAACAGCGATCGCTTTAATCTGCCGCAATTTTTCCAAGATTGTTAACGATCGACGAACCGAATTCTCGCGAACGCGACTCACGAGAACCAAAGCCTGCGGCGCACGCGATGCATCTCTCTCTCTTTCTCTCTGCGTTGTGAGAGCATCGCGAAGCGATTTGACGGATTCTTCAAATTTTCATCAAAACACTATTGATGAAGTTCTGAAGCTCGCATGCGAAAAACTATCGCGTGCCGCAGACTTGAAAGTCGATAGAAACATTTTATTATGTAATATGCTTTGAGCAATTCGCAAACGCCTATAAAAGAAACGCTTTTACATAATAAAAGTAATCTTATACACTAATACGATAATGTGTGGTTTCTTCGGAGATATGTGTGTTTATAAAAGAATATATATCGGATTTCTAATCCAACAATCTTATCAAAATATATGTCAGATCTCTAATCCAACAATCTTATCAAAATATATGTCAGATCTCTAATCAAAATATCTCTATTTTAAAGTGTAAGATTTACAATAATCTGACGTTTTTAAAGAGACAGAAAAGAGAGAAAATACGTAACTAGAAACAAAAACTGTGTATCCTTGTTTTTTTTTTTTTTTTAAGTCGTCTAACATCTTCGTAAGCACAATACTATTGTTTTTTCAATGAGAGAAAGGTTCGCGGACCGACGCAAATTCGTCCGTCCTGCGCATCGTCCCTCCGACGGGACGCGGAGAAAGCCCCCCATTTCTCAGCGCTGTACTGTCCGTGCAGTGCCCATTATTCTGTAAATAGCAGAGTGGTAAATGGGCGGACGTTCGAGCCCAATAGTTACAAAAAAAAAAAAAAAAAAGGGAATTGTTTGAGCGCCCGATTGTATCGTATTTACATATACGGCACTGCGTAGCGCGCAACGATCTCCCCACTCTGTCCATTATTCCATCCCTATGCGCAGACCGCAGACCTTTCTCTCTGAAAAGACAGTATATGCTCGTCATTAACTCTATATATATTCTGCCCCACTGATAATAATAATACTAATGATATTACTAATAATAATAAAAACTCGTAAAACACCCTTATGTCTATTATATATACATGACGGGTATATAACATAGATATATTTCGGCATTGCTTACAGTCTTACCAAATTGGAATATCATTTTTCGAGATAATACTTTCGTTCAATTGGTGTGTTTTGTACGTCTAATCATCTATCCCAATTCACCTTAATTTGTGTTATTCTAAATACAAAACTATTTTCCTGATAAGTTCTCATTTTCTTATTGCAATTTTAATTTTATTCCACAAAGCATTTTTTTCAAACAGTTTCAACGGTAGAAGCTATTTTCTTTCTTATGGCAACGCCAACTTTAGGAAAGAAGACTTGTTCGATTATTTCTGTCAAAATTTGTATAAATTTGTATAAATTTATTTTTTAAATTGTATTTCACACGCGAGAAAGGACTAATTACACGCACACGATTCAAGATATTGTTCTAAGTTTCCAAAGAAGTTTTAATAAACAAAAAAAAATATTAAGTAATAAATTTATTTATATCTCTTTGTTTTTCTTTACACTTTATATCGAGTAGCGTTGCATTTTATGTTTTAAACATAAGACAACAATATGTTAAATCAAATCCGAATCAAAACCAAAATCAAGCCCAAATTAAATTTCGCAATTCTTTTCGCGTAACATAATACTACGCAGTAGTTGTTAATAAAGTACTTGTACAAAAAATTTAAACATTAAGGTGAATTCTCTGATATAGCAATAATGCAAAGATGCAGAAACGCGCGAATGAGAGAAAAACAAAAGCTTGCCGCGATGTGAGAATCAGTTCTTTAATTTTAAACTAATTATAATTCTCATATTTATTATACATGTACGGCAAACGAAAATGCTTTACTCTTTACGCGGTCATAGCCTTCGAGCTGGCGTTGCCCATCTTTTTTGTAAATTCCATAAGAAAATCTCTGTAAATCAGAGAATCCATGTTAGACGACAAAATGTAAAGTATCCACCAATCGCCGAGGTCGACTTTTGCGCTGACGCTTCGACAGATCTCGATCGGCAGCAATCTCGCCGAAAGATGCATCAGTTTCGATCGTACTAACGGCACGAAAATGATGGTCGCTCTGTAAACTATCAGACCGATCAGCATGATAGCTAGTAAAATAAACCAGAACCAAATGAAAATATACGTCTTCTCGTTGACGATGTTGAGCGGCAAAATGCAGAGTGAGTCGTGTCTTTGTATCGTGCCCGAAGGACCGTATTTGTGGAAGATGCACTTGGTGACTCGCGGGAACACGTAGACCATGGGATCAATTCGCTCCTCTTGCGGCGTTTCCGACATCTGTAGCACTCGTAGACCGTAGCTGAGAAATTCGCCGTCGAAGAATCGGTTCATAAAGTAAAGCTGAGCGAATATGTTGATTAGACAAAGGGCCTCGCAGACGAAGTACCGATACACGTACGTGTTATGACACTGAAAGCACAATTTGTTGCTGAATTAAGGCAAATTGGACTCAATGAGGGCGAATTGAACTTAACGCGGGCGTCTCCCTCTCGCGCCTTTCCTCTCTCTCTCTCTCTATCTCATCATACATGTGCCCTCTTCGACTTCTTCGTCCTCTATTCCGCCTAAACAGCTGCGTAACTTCTCGTGTACTAATTTGTTTATCGAATATACATGTATTGCGCATACACAGAATGCGATCTAGATGTGTGCGTAAGAAAAATAAAATTCTATCTTAACACAACCACGTTAGATCACATTAGCATGTATCAATGTATTGTTTTCCATATTTGAAATTTTTTGTATCTATGTTTGTGAAATCGTAAGAATTTAATTTTTCAAATTAATTATTTTTGAAGTTTTGGAAGAGTGATTGATTACACACACACACACACATAATTATTTTCTTAAGAATTTAATCCTTACGATACTACGTACCACCTGTTGAACATGTTTATGTCCACCAAAAAAAAAAGAGAATTAAATAATAGTTGTTCTTATAAACCTAGACATATATAGTAGCCGGATATGTTTTGAAAACACTCTAAGATAAGCAACATCTAATGGCAAAACCTTACACACGTGCGATGTATGTGAAAAACGAACCAGTGAGAACCGGTTATCAAGCGACCACCAGCAGCGAGAGATACGCGCTTATCAATAAGCGATAGATCGACTTTCTATTCCCTTTCGGATTTTTCACGGACAATTAGAAATCATACAAACATTTTGTTTGCCAAGAGGAAAATTTGAAATTCGATATACGTTTATTTGCAAATTAATGGATTTTAATACAATTGCTCACCTTGATGTGCAGCCGCAAGTACTCCATGAGAGTATTTTTCTTTTTTTCTATATTTTCCTTCTCGTCTATTCCGTAATTCAATCCCATGACCAGCGCCTGCATCAGCCCGCCTTCCCAGTTATTCCACAACCATTGCGGCACGTAACAGAAAAGCGCCTGCAATAAAAACATGGCTAATTAAATAAATACTCCGGAAGGAAGTGTCGTGACGATGTTAAATCCAACATTGCTGATGTTGAACAAACTCGAGAATTAAAAAATGTACAAGGATAGATCAAAGCACGTTTATATATATATATGTGTATATTTATACATTGTTAATCTTATCTTCTTTTTTTCTCTACTTCCTTACATATGACATTCTCTCGTCGTGGTTAAAATCCATCATTTATACACGTGTTATGATTCAGATTTGATTTGCCGAACAAACATATACTGACACCTTGTTAAGAAGTTCGATACATGTAAATGAGCGAGAGAAAAATTGCATTAAGGCGGCAAAACATCTCGGATCAAACGAAAGTCAAACTCCGTATAAAAAAGATATTCGAGACCAAGTAGCGACCACACGCGAGTTCGCACGTGTGTAAATCTTTACGCGAGCTGTCGCGTCACAGTCAGCAGAGATATAAAAGATTAAACGTGCGGTTAGTAGAAAGACAAACAGATGGACACACAAAGAGACCAGGTAGAGAGTGGGGAAAGGGAAGAGAGATGATAGTCTTCTTCTTCTGTTGCGTTGCGCATGCACGTGCATCGCACGTGTGATAGATCGCCGATAAAGCCGCTTACCTGGAAGAACAGCACGAAGCAGACCCACTGGTAGTAAGTGTAATATTTTCTCGCTTCAACATCTCCGAAATCGTTCGCGACTCCTGGATGAGCAACTTCTAAGCCGACCTGGGGACACACGATACCTCTTTAGTCGTATGATACGCGATGACGCGCCGTAATGCAGCCACTGCACTCACGTACGCGCAATTTGACTCCTCTCGCGCATTGGATAGCGCGAGAAATAATAGCTCGGTGTATACAGTCTTTTATGTTAATGCGATACCGCGCTTATTATGTGAACATTCTTTTGTGCGGGCACAAGCATTAGCTAATTATATCAATAATATATGTATATTGTCACGTAGAAAAAATATTAATCATCATCATTACAAGCGCGCTTTCGTTTTTTGTTCGAAGAACGTCGACGCCGCAGTGTATTTTTTGCTTGTACAACGGAAAAACATGTTATTTATAAAAGATAAGTGTAATGCAAAAAAAAAAAAAAAAAAAGAAATCTTTAATTGATACGATTATATTAAATTAAAATAAATAGCGATATACGGAAAACACGCACAGTCAAACTATGTTTTTAATGGCTATAAAATAAAAGTGCGTAAAAGTGACAAAGACACCGTATAACACAAGTTTCAAAAAAGAAAAGAAAAAATATATTCCTATATATTTAAAAAAGTTTAATACATATCTAATATATGATATAAATATATAAGAATGATACATATGTACATATATCTGGAGAGAAGATATAAGAAAAACTGATAATAATTCTATCTTTCTGAAATACATATTTTATGATTCAGATAAAATTTGATAAGATAAGATAAGATAAGATAAGATATTTTCTCCTAGTAAAAGAATTTTGTTCTCGGTTGACTTTAGAAAAAAAAAAAAAGCTAGTCAAAACTAGTCCCAAAGAACGGGAAAAACGTTGTTTATTTATAAAGTTACAGAAGTGAAATCGGAAATCCTTTTATAATAAAACTACCCGAAGCGATACCGTAACTATATCCGTAAACTATACACTCGCCGACACTCTATATCGCTGTAAAACATCAAACTCTAGACGTAAAAAAAAAAAAAAAGGAACGAAATAACAAGAACTACATATCGCGTGTAAGAAATCAAATACCGATTATATTACCACCCGCTACTGAGATATTACAAAGCTGTAAACAGCGAAAAATATATCTCGATTAAGGGCCCGAACCGTATCGTGTATCAAAAGCCGCGAGTGTGATGCAACAGGATCGAAAAACTTTGTAACGTGAATCTGTGTAAATACACTTAGGACAGTCAAGAAAAAACCATTAATATAAACAAAAAAATAAATGAAATGCAATTATAAATATAGAATACAGCTATAACTTGTTGCTTAACGTCAAGAGAAAAAATGAGATTTTTTTTTTTCTAAAGTCAACCGAGAACAAAACTCTTTTGGAGATATGATATTTTCTAGGAGAAAATATCATATCTTATCAAATTTTACCTGAATCATAAAATATGTATTTCAGAAAGATAGAATTATTATCAGTTTTTCTTATATCTTCTCTCCAGATATATTTGTGTTTATGTAACTTTTTTTTTCATAATACAATAATCACAGATTTAAAGTCAGTTTTTGTGAATCTTATTCTGTTCACATTAAAAAATGCTTACGTGATATAAAACAATTTTTAATTCTCCTAACCGCGACTGTCTGTAATTACGACTTCGAAACACTCATCGAAAAAAGAAAAAGTCAACGAGTCTCTTTTTTGCGAAGGCGCACAAGCTTTGATAAAATTAAGTGTTCGCCGACAATAATTAACACTTGATTTCCATATTGCGATAACTTTAACTGAGCACAGTGTTATATATATTTGTTTGGCTTCTCTTCGAGACTCGTCGATATAAATAGTTAATAAGGAAAAGTTTTTTTATAAAAATGTATTTTTTTTTTTTTTTTAAGATAAAATTTAAGATAGGCCAAGAAATCATCCTAAGCTGAATAAACAAATCTCTCGATAATGCGGTGTGTTTTCAATTAATTTTTCATAATTGCAAATCAAAGTAATCTGAAGCAAAAACTTTCCCAAGATTCGACGTAAAAGATTCGATTATTGAGATCGAGACTCATTTTGAGATAAGCTAATTGCCAATTAATACAAAATATTCTTATTTGCATTGTGCGCGTTACTAGCACAACGCCATGAATAGCAGTCGTCTCCGAATGTAGAGGTAGTCCGCCTTGACATACAAGAGTCTTTTTTCAACGCACAGATAAAATTTAAACGGTAAAACTTGACGATTTTAATGTAAATCGTCGACGTGTGTTACATGACTGTTTCAACGTTTGCCGATACCGGGAGGAAGGGCAAGAAGTGTGATAACTGTTTACTTCGAAAACGTACGTGAATGAACGGAAGGCGGGAAAATCGTTTGTCGCGGCAATCGAAGATCGCGCACATATATACACACACCTGTCGATCAAACGCGTCCGGCATCGTGAAGGTGGATGTTATCCAACAATACGTGTTGACAGCTTGTTTGGGCAAACCCTCGACAAGGCAGGTGATCGGATTACCGACGTATTGGGTGGCCGTGAGTATGACCGAGCACGTGAACAACAGCACGGTGGTGAAGATATTGTGCATCCGAAACACCATAGAGTCCGTGCCGACTTCCTGTCGCTTCAGATACTGACCTAGCCCCGCTAGAAGTTTATACAGACTCATGGTCGCGTCCTTGATAAGCTTCTTCAATCTACGAAGACAAACGTCGACGCACAACAGGGGGGTTCCCGCAACAACCCCTTGAAGACAGCCGCAACCGGTATACCAACCACGTGGAAAGGAGGATACTTCGAAGACGCGCGAAAGTAAAGTCTCTCTCTTGTAGCTTCAATATTGTTCTTCGGCAAATTCTACAACGGTTTCACAACGACGGATCACGAAGACGTTATACCATCAACCGGCACTAACGAGCGTAGCTCATCCAACGCACGCTCTCGTACGAACGAAAGCAGTAAAACGAAACAAGAGAGAGAGACACACGAGCCAGCATACACGAGAATGCACGTTTGTCCACACGCGGGGTATACCTCCTCTGCCTCCCTCCTTTCTCTTCACCCGTCTTTCCGTCCTACCTTCTCTTCAGACGCTCCGTCGCGCCGTCGCCGCACACACACACACGCACACAGCGCCCCTTCTCTTCGCCTCCTCTCGCTTTGTCTTCGTCTTTCCCTTTCGCTCGTGCCCTTCTTTCGCCGTCCTTCTTTTTCCGCCGTAACTCTGTCTCCTCTCCTTTCTCTTCGCTCTCTCGCCACGGATCCTTCTTCTTCCTTCCCTCGATGTTTCTACGGGCGAGATCGGTCACCGAACCACGTTGGACGAGTTCGCAACGTGTGTTCCAGTTCCTTCTGCGAGAGATTGGCGGTTTCACGTCTCTCACGTTTCGCGTCAATCATTTAGCAATCAAGCCAATGAAACGTAGAGAGAGAGAGAGAGAGAGAGAGAGAGAACGAGAGTTTTCGCGCGCTCCGCCGCTCTTTCCGCTTTCTTTGAAATCTCTATATTTTGTCGCTTCCGCTTTGACTTCTTTTTTCAATTATTCTCTTGCCTGAGACTTCGCTAGAAAAGTTAAAATTCTGAAACAGAGGTTGCGATTTTTTCAACTTTTTTCGACTTGAACGGAAATTTTTGTTGCGTGTGTCAAGATGAACTTGCAATTGCGCTAACCAATGTTTATTTTACTCGAAAAAACGATAATCTTTCCCTCTTTTGCTTCTCACCCTACCCCTCTTCTTTTTCTTACAGAAACACCGGGAGAACGAAAAGGCACTTTCGGCAACGCCAACGTGCACAACTTATACAAACTGCCGTCGCGTATCGAGGAAGCGACACTAACTACCAACTGTCAATCACACCGACCGCCCTTCCCCTCTCTCCGTCTCTCTTTCACTCACCGTCCCCATCCCCTTTCAAAGTCCCCCTTTGTCCCTTCCTCTCCACTCGCGCCTCTATGCGCGCACGATTCGAAACGAAATTGTGCGGCAAGGCGCGCCGATGCCCCCTAGATGCTCCGTTTTCCGTTCTTTTTTTTTTGTTTGCAAAAGGAGGGGGAAAACAAATTGCTCCTTCCTTCCAGCTCCTTAGTTTTTCTCGCAGGAAATGTTGCGGCGAGCGCTGGCGTACGTAAAAGCGTGCGCGCGTAACAATATCTTGAACGACGACTGACGAGAAGTCAGGTTGTGTTGTGTCATCAAGCGAACTAGAAGAGGAGCGTGGAGGGAAAACGGTACGCGGATCCCCGGAGGATCAAAAGACCGACGGTACGGCGGCGAGCGAGTCATACTCGGGGAGGGATGGATCGAACGAGAGAATGGGGAAGGGGAGAAGCACTTCCCCTCCCTACAATAGGCGCTACAATGCGTCGACGCATTGTATGGTGTACTGTATCCGGCGTCACTACCGTTACCACGGTCATCCTTTTTACAGAGGCATTTGGTCGATTCGGGGAATAGAAAATAAAGAACCCCTCCTGCTATGCGGCGTTGACGCTGTCTGGTCCCCCTTCGGGGGGCTCCCGAAGGGAGAACGAGAAACGAGAGAGATATTTAGTTCGAGCTTGCGTTACCCTAACTGCTTGCTTTAACCCGCTTAAACTACGTTTTATGACATCTGTTATTCTATATCGGTCACAGCGGAAAGTTTTAGATGAACATGTAATGACAAGAGAAGTCAGAAAAATTATTTCTAGAATAGGTCAGGTTTAAATAATCTAAATTAAATAATTGTATTGCATTACGAAACTGATAATAAAAAGTATAAAAGTGATTGGTTTTTGATTGCAATTTAATGTAAAATTTCGTTAAAAATATGATAGTCTGAATTTTGTTTTTAAATATTTCCTGAGTGTATGTTAGAAATAATTTGAAAAATATGCGCAGCTAATTTTTATTTTACGATAAAAAATCTCATACCTTGCGTAAAGCTTCATTGGACTAACTGGTTTCTAATGTTCTCCAACCAGAATTACTACATTCGCATTACATAATTCAACATTTCGAGGAAGCAAGTCATTTCAAAGTCATTTGTGCGGTTTCAATCAGCAGTAACTTTTGTATTTGTTAACGACGCGTAAAAACATTAACGAAGATGGTACGAGAATAACACGAATGTGGTAGCTGCATATATTTAAAGAAAGGTGTGGCGCAAAATATTGCTCGGAAGTACAAATATATACCATTTGAGATGTGCCCGCAAGCGTGTGCACTTTATCAAGTAAATATTATATAAAAAAATTAATAAAATGAATTCATATAAAAAAATTAACAAAATCAAGTCAACATATTTATTATTTAAAAAGTAAAAATAATTTCTGAAGAATAATAGCTCTCACAAGAGAAAGATTTTGAATTGTTGTTTAATATACATTTAAATCTAATTTAACATTTTTGTGAAAACATTGGAAGAATCTTCCAAAACTGCATTAAAATGCAACAATTGTCGTGTGTTTTGTGACGCTGCGTATACATATTTGTACAGCCAAAAACAACTTTAAAATTGCAATGTAAAAACGAATTGATCAAACAACGAAAACTTTCAGTTTATAAAAGAACACTTGCTTGCTTCTGAGAAGTTCCTTCTCATTCCTTGAATCTCCCGAAGAGGCAGCTTTCTAAATTATCCTTGCGTTTTTGCCTCTGCGTCTGAACCTTCCATTATGAACGCCAATGTAGTTCTTATTTTCAAGAGAAAATCTCGCTCAAAAGTATAATAAACCTTCAGATGATTATCGCGAGTTTATTACTTTGAAGTTTAATATACTTTAGAGAATAATATATAAAAAATGTAAAACTAATACGTATATAAATTCATTGTTAGTGTAAAATGTCTGTACATATGAGGTGCAATATATAAATGACACTCATGTAAGACTGCGCATAAATCGTGAGACCGACAAACGCTTTGAGCTTGAAAGCTGGTTTGCAGGAAATTAAAAATTTTTCCAAGAAAAATGATCGTGTGACGTGTCTGTGCAACGCATTCTCACAATCTCTTTACAAGTTGTTGCGTTTCAATTACATGTCTTTTTCGATAATCCTTTTTCAAGGATTTAGTTTTGTGTGTTTCAAAAAACCAACCGGTCAAAATATATAAAAATCCTTCAAAAATATCTCGGCGTGTTTCGCTTGCTTGATCAATCAAGATGATAAACAGATTAGCCCAATGAGAATCAGAACACTGTTGTTTATGCACTGCTTCACATATATAATTAAAAAAAGTGTGAAAACTTCTCATACAGATTTTCACAATATTATGTATTTGATAATTGTAATTATCAAATACATAATATTCTCATTGGCCTAATTTGATAATTGTAATTATCAAATACATAATATTGTGAAAATCTGTATGAGAAGTGTTCACATTTTTTTTAATTATATATGTGAAGCAGTGCGAAAAGACACGATACACTCTTGTGCATGTTTTGCAAAATGCAAAACAGTTTCGATTATATAGCGTGTTATCTGTTAAAGGATTTGTTTCATCTTCCCACAGTTTGTAGCAAACTTTAATCCGACTTGATTTTTCTCTCACGCTCACACACACACACACACACACACACACACACTCATGACTCGTTACAAAGTATTGTACACACATCACATGAGTAACATGCTCATGAGCGTGTATATGCTTCGTGTGAAAATTGCAACGTGTGACTCGGTCTTATAAAAAAACTTTGTATAAGCTAGTGTGAGATTTTACTACGAATTTGATTCCATTCATGCAAATTCTATTCCATGTGCAGATTGCTTGTGTGCGTTCGTCATCGTCACATCCGCGAACTCGCCGCATCCGTGCCGTTATGGTTTTCGTCGCTTCTATTGTAGTGACGCGATCGGTAGACCAGAATGAGCAAGATGACGCAACAAGAAACATCTCGCTGTATATCTTATGCAACGAGCGAACATATTGTGTGTGAGTTATATAATAAGAATATATATTTAAAAATATATGTATATACGTTATAATCGTACATATATATTTATTGACTTCCTTTGCGGACAGTCTACTCAAAAATTGCGCGTCTAGTAAGAATTAGTTTTTTTAATGCTTATCTTCAAAACTACCAGAGATTTCTTCAATTTGTTTTTTTTTTTTTTTTATTAACGCAGAATTGTTAAAAGTTTTTAATTAAAAACAAAAACAAACACAATTGAAAACAAAATTAATTTTTCGCTGAGATATTTGATTTTGAAAGTTGCGTCACACAGACTCAGTCTGACTCGTCATTTTTGAGGTCCGTCCGCGAAGAATTAATTTCAATATATAAGAGAAGTAAACAAGTAATATATAATTTAAATTTTCTAGTATATACACATGTAAATTGTGTGATAAAATGTCAAGATCGATAACTCGCTTGTTAGTCTTTCGTAACAAATAATAATCAGAGTCACTTTTTGTTAGGTCTGTCGAGGTTGTTGGCCTCTCGACAATCCTTTCACGTCTAGTCTCTTAATGTCCACTTTCGATACGTTTTTCGACGAACCAGCTAAGTCGAGTAATTCGTCTCGCATACGAAGAACCGGCCAAGCCAATCTTTCTCACAGACGCGTGCTACACAGAAACTGTGAGACCGGTTTGCTGGAAAGCTACAAGATGAGAACCGCTATAACTCAATCACATCAATGTTACAAAGGCGTATTTATATTTCGTTCGTCTGAAGCAGTTTTGGTCTAAAGAGATCAGTTTCTATTTGTTTATGTTTTTTTCTAAAAGTCCACACAATCATATAACATAAATCGTCCAATGATATTACAATTGCGCGTGAGATATTTTTAATTAAAAATATTATAATCAGAAATATAATAAATTTTATCTTTATATAACTTAGCAGATAATTTTATATGTCAATACGAACCAATGTGCTGAAAGCAAATATATTTTTAAACGTGTAAAGTAGTCAACACTTGGAAATTCGAATCGATTTCCATTCGAAAAAATGCATTCAAGATGTTTAATATTTGACATCTCCAGTATATAAATTACCTATTTTATCCTTCTACAAGATTTAAATAATCCATTGCGAAAAACGCACTTTGGTCAGAAATCGAACCCGGAGTTTCCGCATTCCGTGAATTGAAATCAATTCGCGAATACGCAAGTGTATTTGCACGTTTAAAAATATATTATAAAATATATACGTACATCCAACACATTGGTTCGCATTGATCTTACAAACTATTCGCCAGGTGTGAATTAACTTTCACGAGCTTAGAAAATTTGTTTGATAAACGTATAATCATCGTAAAGAGAGTACATTATTTATAATTATATATTTGATTAGCTCAGAGCTTACAATCTGCAATGACACAATTAACCTCAGTCGTCGCGAACGTCGTAAAACAAAATCGGCGAAATATAAAAGGGACATCAATCGAGTGTTGTACATCTGGCGTTCTAGATAGATAACGAACAACCTGTTGCTCCACACGGAGTGACGTTAATGCCTGTGTTATGGTACACGTCTATAAAATGTAGTTGAGAAAAAGATGAATGTTATCGTGCAATAAGAAACGAAGAGAATGCGCGGAATAAAATACGCTTGTCCCAAGAGGTGACTTATTCATAACGGATGTTTTTGCTGGATTATCTTGCGCACATCTCCGTGTGCATTTGCGAGATAAACGAAAGCATTGTCGAGAGACGTACGACGCGCTGGAATGCGCAGTGCATCATTCTGCGCGCGTTTATGGTGTTGAGAGGCTGACACACACACGCGCGCACACACACACACACACATACACATACACACACACATTCGTCACTAAACTCTAAACTAGATTTTATATTCTATACACAAAATGTGAGACGATTTTGCGTCACACATGTATTACGTATAAATTTTCTCACAAAGATACGATGTGTAAACAATAGAAAAACAAATCTTGCTCTTAAAACAATAAATGTCACGAAGTGACAAAATTTATTTACAGTACGTACGTGTATGTTTCTTCGCTTAAAAAAGCATTGAAGTGTTGAAATTATTAAATTGTTATCATTATTTTTTCTGAAACTCAAATACGACCGTTATCCAGAAGTGACCAGATGTTGGTGTAGCGTGTAAGTAATATGAGGATGATGTAAAGATTACCATTCTGAAAAAACATATCCCCGTTTTCTAGATTTTTCCGGTCGTCGCCTAGTATCGTCTTTCTTTCTGTAACTTTCCGAGTAATTGATATTTTTTTAAAAATGACGCTTGGTAGGACTGTTCGTCACATTAGAAGACTTAGGTTACAACATGTGTTACTACTAGCGCACGTGGTTCGAGCTTAAACGAACGCGTAACAACATTCGTTTATTACGTGCTTGTTTATACAAAGAATAATTGACGGTATTTAAAGAAGCAAAGTTATACTGTTTGTCTTTGAGATAAACTGAGATCGTGTAATTAACTAAGAATTACATAAATAAAACAAACTAAGAGAAATGTGTTGCTCTTTATTGCAGTACATTCAATTTAAAGTAACTACAAGTTTGATAAAGTGTTAATTTTTAAATCGGTCGGTTTTAATTAAACAGTTTTTAATGAATAAGACAGATATTTTCCAAATTATTACGTCTCTGTCTCTTCTCTGTGGTAAAATATAAAATAAAAAAAGTTTTACTATTATTTCGCACAGAATTATCTGTTCCATAAACTCTTTTCGAAAATTCTCTTCAGGAAATCATCTGTCAACTTTTGTTCGCGCTAATTGGACTCTAATCTACAAAATTTTCTTTTAAAATCTTCTTTCATCTTCACAGTCAAAAAAAGAGCAAATATAATAATTAAAAGTAAAAATAATACAAGAGTGTCGTGTTGGATTTATTTTATTGTTTCTATTGATTTATTTCCATTTGCGTTCTCTTTGTAGTTACGTCGAGGATATACGAGTTCTAGATATCTGCTCGATACGCTAGGAAAGTATGATAAGTACCCGTTTTCCTTTTAGAAACTCCATTGTTTCTGAAAGACCGCACTGTAAACTTCGAGATATCGTTCGATTGATTGACTTGGTCAGTCGATCATAAACGCGGCCAGTGTGCAATGTAAGAACGGCGCGTTATGAAGTAGAAAATAAATGGCCGTTTTGGATCGGCTTATACTTCGAAGCTCAAAGTCCAAGCGTACAAGGCTTTCCGGTATGTCATTCTTTTTCTTCTCTCGTCTCGCTCTCCTCATTTCCCCGACTGAGAGGATAATGAGTTTCGGCCGTGTGACGCGCGATTCCGCACAGCTCCCGGACTCTCGGGTTTCTCGTTGCATCCGCATCACGAAACAAAAGCCAGCTCTAAAGAAACGCGGAGTGGATTTTCTTGAAGACTTCGAATAAATTTTAACAATCCGATAGAGAGAATTGTTAACAAACTATTTAATATTCAAGATAGACAATTTTTATTCATCATTTTTACGAACAAAAAATTTCTATAAATTATTCATGTTGTATTATTCATACAATATTGTATTTATAATGCGTGTTATGACAAAACTATTCAGCCGTCGAACAAAATTCTCTCGAAGCAATTGTTTTTCACAATTTATATCCCACAAATCGTGTGAGAATTCAGTCAGAATGAAATTTGTGACTGACTGTTATCTTTTTTTTGTTCGAGTGCAGTAAATAATTTTGAATGACTCTAGCGGTTTTGTACGAGCGTCGTAAAAAGCCTGAGAGGCGTAACGTAACCGAGGGACACCAACGTAATTATATCGAAACAGCGACTAGAGCCGATAGTAGGCCACGGCACACACAATTCCAATCAGAGAATCTTAACAACGTAACGATCCGGACGATTGTCGAGTCGTTTATCGAGCGCGGTGCAACGCACGGACGTATTTGTATTTCACGCGTGTACACGCGTCTCCGTGCATGTGCACGACATAACACACTGATTAAACATCAGTCCTCCGCACGAGGTAGTTAAAAGATGATCGGTGCCAGTCATGTCGTGCGTTGCGCGCACATGACTGCAAATGCAATCTCGCAATGCACGCAACACGTATTATTGTACAATTGCGATAAATTGTGTTAAAGCACGCTTATAACGTAAAGAGGCAATTTTTCGTTCGACAGTTTGTATTGATATGTTTCCGATTGCACGCAACATGTGGAGATATGCAATGTTTAGTTTTTTATTTGATTTTGATGCGTTTTGATGCGAGATATCAAACAATTTCTGTAATGTGACATCAACTTGTAAAAACACTTGCACAACCACAACTACACCGTATTGAAACTGTATGTATTTTGTCGTAAAAAACCGAGTTTTATTATCTAATTTCACATATAAATCTAATAAATATATAAATTTAAAAATTTCTCACATACGTACAGACGTACGCGCGAAATAAATGAATAAATTTAATTATGTAATGTATTATATTAATGTATTAAATATAAAACTTAGTTTTATATTTCTATAATATTTATATAGTGTTATATAATATAAATATTATAATATAATATTTATATAATATTTATATAATATTTATATAATATTTATATAATATAAAACTAAGTAAATATTTACATTAAAAGATATACATATATATGGTTTATTTTGATCTCAACATACATGTAAACATTATACCTGTCGATAAACTATTCGAAATTGTGTATCTTTTAATGTAAATAATTATCTGAAATATCAAATTTATATATTAAATTTATCCATATATTAGTCTTCTTTAAAAAAACAAAATTAAGAAAGATCAGAAAAAGAGAAAAAAAAACCCCAAAAATTACATCTAGAATTAGACTTCACTTTCTTAAAATTTAGATTTCACTCTGCGGGTGCAACTTAATTCTACATTTGATTGATCTTCACATCTTCTTCAGCATCAGTTCCTCTTCAACTTCAGGTTGCGAGATTTTGTAACGCACGTGACGCCTACTGTCCAGATCCTCCGCCAATCTCTGAAGGAGATCTTTGAACACGTAGTTGTCCAAATTTCTGGCTATGTAATAGAGAAACAGCCAGTCGCCGAAGTAGTACTCGTGAGTGACCTTGAGTACGTTCCACGGATTGTACTTTCCGGGACAAGCCGTGGAGAATACGAATTTGTTGAATGACGTACTTCTGCACAAACAAAAACTCATCGATAAAAATCCGTCTATAAATAACGTCTGCTTCGTTCGTGTGTGTCTCGCGATGCGAACTTACGTGATTCTGTCGTGAAAGTCAAGGTTGTCTGTAATTTGTTTTGTCTCATTTATTTGGTATTTTGGTAAGCGTAACAATTTTAGGATACAAAAAATTTAGATGTTTGTATCTTTATACGCGTAGAACGCACCTGTGTGTGTGCGAATTTCGTATAAAAAAAACTTTTGTATAAAAATTAATAAAGTTACAAAAAATGACACATTGACGATGTGAGAACGAGAAGATTTAGCTACCTGGCATGAAGGAACATGGTTAGCGCTCTCCATACTAATCCTAAACCGGTTATCACTGCTAGCGCGATGAACCAGAACCAGAGAACCGCATAGATCTTTTCGTTGACGACGTTCAGTGCCATCACGCACAGCGCGTCGTGTTTTTGTATGGTTCCAGAAGGACCGTACTTGTGAAAAATGCATTTTGTTACCTAAAAAAAAACAATTATCGTTATATATATTATTAATAAAGTAAGCAAAAATATTATAATTGCAAAATAGGATATGATATCCTTAATAAAGTCAGGTTTGCATCGAATTAAGTGTTTTTTTTTTTTTTTTTTTTTTACGTGACGTTCATTGTGTGTACACGCACAATGAACTATAGGAGCATTTATTGTTTTTATCACCACGCAGCAAACTTACGGCCCGGATATTTGTTATCAGATAAGTGAAAGTATCTATAATTTCAAAATTTTATTTCCTTCTGAAACACAATGATAAAGGGCTTGTCTATTACATATTTATTGAGTAAACAACCTAATCTATTTTGAATTCTACACTGTTTCTGATAAGACGAAATTCAAGTTTCCTCTCACAAAAGAACAGGAAACGGCACTTGCGGAAGCGGACGATTAAAGTCTGTGCTCATAGATCGGTCGTGATTCAATCTGAGAATCGGTTTTGAGCTGGAGGTTTGAAATAAGAAAGCCGCGAGACGACAAATCTGCGAATCACAATTTCTTTAAATCTAGCCCAAATCGATTATCAGATTGAGATATTAAAAGCAATTTTTGATGCAATATTGCGTTTAGCAGTTTTCTGTCTTGGAGAAATCGCTTTCTCTCAAACTTCTTACACTTAAAATCGAAATGTTCTTTTAGTACTTTAGTCTTTGTTAGAAATTATTTATTCGTTATTTATTTGCAAAAATAAGTTATAAAATATTTAAATTAATATAAAGAATTAAAAAAAAAAACTACGTTCTATTTAAATTTTATTTTGATGTGTGCAATTTATATTTCCTGAAACAAAAAATTAATATTAAAAAAAACAAAGTTATCGCAACTCTTATTGCGAAAAACAGTTACCTTCGGGAATACTACGTCGAGGGGATCTATTTCGTCCTTAGACAGCGGCCTGAGAATATGAGGGCCGAGATTTATAAAAGCTCCACGCAGGAACCAGTCGATTAAGCAAATTTGCATGAGCACGTTTAGAAAATTCAGTATCTCGCATAAAGTTAGACCGTATGCCCACGGACGATTTAAATGCAAACGGTTTATGAAACCAATTCGTATCTGTTGTATCTTTTCGTCGCGTTCCTGCTTTGACGGCACTTTGATCTTATCGTTCACCTTTATTTCCGTTTCACTTTGCAGCGACAATGCTGCCATGTGTAATCCTGATACTAACATGTTCAATCGACCACCTGAAATTAATTCTTCATTATAAGAATTGTAATACGTAATTTTCTGTACGTCTAATACTACATATGACGAAAAACACGCAATATTTTTGTAATTTTTCCGAATTTTTTATTATTAAAAATTGTGCGAAATCTCTTTAAATGTGTAAAATATAAAATAAGTGTTAATAGTAATATAAATATTAAGATACTTCTGTAAGCAATGGCATTATTAAGTAGTGGAATGTCTACAGTTGTGATTAGATTACGAAGGTAAAGAAAGAGACGATTAACTTGCTACTTGAGATAAAAATGTGTTTGTTATCGACGCGCGATACGTAAAAATCGCGTTAATACAAAAGTAATGTCAAACAAAAAATAATCGACCTTCCATTTTTCTCCATAAATAATGTGGCACGTAGAACAAAAGTGCTTGAAAGAAAAGAACAAAAGGCACCCATTGGTAATAAGCGTGATGTGTAATTGCGTCGGTTTTAGACGCCGGTCCAACACCGGGATGCGGTAACTCACCGTCCAATACCGCGGTAGCGTTCATGTGCTTTACCTGAAAAAAATAAAAAAGTTACATCTGTTTTTAATATTTCGATATTTTTCAAATAAAAAAAGTAATATATACACTTTTAATAAATTTTGTTTTAATACAAAAAACGTTTTCATCAAAGAGAGAGAGAGAGTAAGACATTTTTTCGCACCACTTATTTGTACAAAAACGTAAAAAATTTACCACTGTGTACGTGGACATGAAAAAGCAGAAGGTTTCGATGACTTTAGGTGGCACACCAGAGTCTGTGATACATCTGTTAAAGAATTTATTTATTGTTATAAAATTATCAATATAATGTGTTCTTAAAAAAATATATATATATTTAATATATTTAATATATTTTTTATTTCTCACACACGCGCGCAATGCACATACTTTATATGTTCTCCGATAAATTGTCTAGAAGATACCAGAATTGTTGATACCAGAAGCAACAAAAATGTGGCTCTATAGTGTAATCTGAAAACTGTAATCAATCACTCCTTTCATTTATCTGACTTGTGATAACAATTATACAAGTTATAACAAAATATATATATTTGTGTTATATAATTTGTTATATAAGTTAGTATTATATAACGTTTTGTCAAATGCAACAAATTACTTGAAAATAAAATTTACTGTTATTATAATTCTACTGTAATTGTGTGAATCTACCGATTCGTGAATTGTTCAATTCGTATTGAACAATTAGTCTACTTTAGAGATAAACATGATGTATTCGAGTAACATAAATCCATTACCGAGATTGTCGATGACTATTGCATTTTGATTGACTTTGAATTTAACGTGATCTTTCAGCACCGAGAAGGCGCCGAACACAGTAGTAGCCATGATGCAACATAGAACAATTCAGTAGAATATTATCTTGCGCGATATTTTTTCGGAAGTATTGCGAATTCTCTAATTTTATTTTCCGTAAAACGTACACACTGTGATTTGTTCTCGTTTACAAACGTCACTTTTGTACTTGCGCGACATCGATTGACTTCGCGACTGTTAAAGAACGGAAGTCGATTTCAGTTTCGACCGCGAACATCGCCTCAACAATCCCAATAGAACACTGTTCGAGAACATACTGAAAACTTAAAACCAATGTATGTCTCTTGTCTGTGTTATCGGAACGATGATTGAAGTACTCTGTACTTTATGGAACGCAAGTATTATCAAAGAAAGAGGTTGTTATTGTTAAGACGTGTTATAACGCGGCGAGAAGATAAGAGAACCAGATAGCACGGAATTAGATTGACGTGAAAACGCGTCATGAGTCGCGAGTCGACAAAACTGATGAAACTGTGATGGTAATTTTCGACCAACGTTCTTCTCGTATACGTTCGTCTCGTATGTAGATAATTGTCGCAAGATGTTGAACTCTAACCCGATTATTGCGATTTATCATTGCAAGGGAGCGTCGCGGATGAATGACTAATAAAATAGGCAAAGTGTTCCACACACAGAAATACATTTTAACCTTTTCGCTCCGGGGATTTTTCCTTTAAAATTGACCTCGCATTTTAGCTGAAAAAGTTAATAATAACCTGCTACCCCCCTTCTTCAAAGTTAATTTTGAAGGTCAAAGAAGTAACCAGGATTTTTTTCAATTTTTTTCCTAAATTTAGTGCATTAAATTGACCTTATAAAAATCTATTACGTTCGCTTTTCTTGCTGGTCCATATATGGACCAGTCCCGGAGCGAAAAGGTTAACAAAAGAAAATTAAATCATCAAACACCATAGAAATGTAAACGCAATATCTCGTAATACATTCCACACGTTAGTCATCTAGCGTTCTATTTATAAAAAAAGATAAAAAAACATTTCTATTTTTAGAAACACAATGGAAACTGACATCTTGCTCGATAACGAAAGAATGTATGTACGTCACTTCAAAAGTCAAAGATCATATTTCACAATGATGAGGGAAAAAGTAAAAAAGCACAAATTTACCTTATCTATGATGAACGGGAGAATATTGTCGAAAAAAATATAGCAATCTTTGAGAGATTATTTTATCTCAATATCTTTTAAGCTCTGTGATGTGATGGCAAAATTTATATTCGAATTCTGCGCAAAATCTATAAAAATCGTCTTTTTTTTTTTATCAAGAATCAACAAACTGTGGTATTTACAACGTAATGTGTTGCATTTTAAATTACATTGTAATTTTTAAATTTGTATAAAATATACAAAGAAATTGCAACAACAAAAGATGCAATAAAAACTTAACCTTTAATAGTTATTAAATTTTTAAGTATGTATGTACGTATTCGAAACATGTAATAGTTTTGTAAACGAAGACAAATGTAATATAAATGATAATATAAATGATTACGTAATATAATGTAAGTGATTACGTGTGTTTTTGAATGAAACATATCGTACGCTCACAATGTTGTGTGCAATTACATACGGTATCAATTATACGACGCGCCGTGCAGCTGCATCATGTGAAAGGGCCTTTCATACGACATCAAATAAATTAGGAAGCTGTGACACACAACAACACGCGCTCGTTACACGCAATGTGACTTCGAGCCGTATTTATTTCGAAGAAAAACTTATGCTCATCCATAATGCCGATTCGTCGCGCCGGTTTGCATACTAAAGCGAGCGGACAGTAATCTAACGTTTAACGACTAGATCAGAATAATAAAACTGTGATGATCACGTTACGTGGGCACGTACGTTGTGTGGGCGATGCAACAGCTTTTTGGAGAATCGGACGAAACCGTGAGAGTTCGTTTGTCTCTTGAAAACGTGAGCAAACTCGTTAATAATACAGGTGAACGTTCGCAGATCTTTTTGGTCAACTCTTTGGTCAAGACTTTTTGAGTCATTTAAAAATGTATTATAACACACAAATGATAAACAAATTTTATATAATTTATTTTTTACTCGATGACATTAGTTCTTTTGATCTAATGGAACCGCGACAATAATTTTATGAAAGAAACAACCGCCTAAACCTGTTTTTTTTTCATATTTTACATAAGTAAATTTTATTTGTACGATAGAAATAAAATTTTGTTTCTAATTGAAAAAATATTTATCTTACCACGGTACGCTGTAAGATTCTCGAACAAATTATTTTATCACACTGTAATTACGCAAAATTCAAATTCTCGCGAATAAAAGTAGATTTGTGTCGTATATTTAAAATTTTGCGCAAGTCTCTGTCCGTCACCGAGCAATGAATTAACATACTATCGTGTGCGGTGATGAACGTGACGCGAATAAACAACAAGTATCTAAATTCAGCGAGACAAAGAGAAACGATAAGCGGAGAGGGATGAGGGAGGAAGTAGTGGAATAAATTAATCTCGAACGGCTTATGGATTCTCTTTCTCGACAACTCGCTTATGTGGCTATTTGTAGTATTAATTAAGGAGGGCAAGTGGAGATGAAGGAGATGTATCATATTCGTATTCTATTTTTGACTTTACGTCCTCGAGACGGTGTAACGTGATATTACACGTGACCATTCATCATCAATCGACTTATTGCGAGACGTGATTATTCGTCGAAGAACAACTTTCATAATTTTCTGCGCTTGAATCAATTTTTCTTCCTTGTCGTCGTGAGTCAATCTTAATATCGATAATAAATAGTTCGTGTTAAGAAAAAAAAAAAACTACAATTGCGGGTCGGAGCGAGCATCAATTAAAATTGAAATTGAAGATCGCTTCTGTTAATTCCCCGTGAGCGTTACTGGCGCATAAACAAGCTCCAATTACAAATCCAGCTATTAACGAGCGAATCAGAAGAACGGTATACATGTATACCTATCTATGACATGACACTCGAGCATACAAAAGCATCGGCAACCCAAGCCGTACGTGCCTTCTGGTACGGGATGCATTACATATTCCTGCGCTTATGCAAGGTGTCGGGTGCTAACTCTCGAGGCTTCTAGTCGCTCTCGGAAGCGAGCTGAAATTTCTGTCCGTTGAGAAGAAATGATCGTCGAGAGACACAAGCGAAGACACAAAGTCACTCTTGATTCATCAGCCGTTCCGAGAATTTCTAATACCTACAGTAAAATTTAGGGAGTATTCGGAATTTTTAGACGTTGCTGTCACTGTGATGTGTCATTATTCTTATCTCTCATAATATCGCGATGAAACAAATTTATATAGGCCCTGTATGTACAGGGTCTATAAATTTTACAATCGCTTTCGTCGAAATCAAAAAAAAAAAAAAAAAAAACGCGTTACATCATTCTTTTATTGAATTATTACGCCAAGATAAAATTTTATCTTCTCTCACACATTGACGTTCGCTCACATAATAGGTGATTATTGAAATGTATCGAAAAAAAAACTTTTGTTCGATTCTTTTTGTTATGTTTTGTTATATTTGTTTATTCTAAACACGTGGTAGTGAGAAAATTTATATTTTTTCTCTCTTTTTTTCTCTCTTTCATCATTTAGAACAGCAATTATTTTTAAACCCAGAAATTGTTTAATCTCTCGATGTTTTCTCCGAACTCTCTCTCTCTCGAATGCTTGCTTGATGATTTGACAATCCTCTCTCACGAGCATCACGGGCAAGAAATTCGGAGGAGTTCGGACATCGAAGACCGTAGAAGAAGACGACGCCAAAGGTGACCGCTATACCGGCAAAGAGCCTTACGAAGCAGCACGAGAAGAGAACGGGAGGGCAGACTGGCAAACGTCGAAGGTGGGACTTTGACCGGCCATTGGCCCCAGCGAGTCAAGCCGCCGGCAGAACGAACGAGTCCTCGAAAGAAAGGGTTTGTCCTCGACCATCTTCACATTTCAACGTCCATGACTACGTTGTACCGGCGCACGTAAACTAGACGACGAGCAACCATCGCCATCGGTATCTCGAACGAACTCGGCCGGTACCCTTTCGTTTGAACTATGTGGGGGGGAAAGGAAGGCACCGGTTCCCCAGAGAGTTTATCCAGAAACGTGTAAGGGAACTAATAGAATCTAGACGAACCGGTCGCGCGAGATACATTTTCCCTTAATCTTGACGTACGTGAAGATTCATGAGAAATCTTTTAACTTAGTTGTACTTGTGTAAAGCTCTCAAGTCAATAATTTGTGATTTAATACAAGAGCGAGAGAAATAGAGACTTCTGATAAGAACAGAATTATCTCGAAAAGAATTGTCTCGAGGAACATTTGTTTTAAGAATTTATTTTTATCTCTTATTGTTTTATTTACTGACGCTTTGCGAACACAAACGTTTGATTTGAGACAATGTTTTTCACCGCTTTCGTTTTTTAGTCGTTCTTTGAGTTGAAAAACGTGCAGAAAAGAGAAGTCGTTAAATTCATTTCACATTTCGAGATGCAACGACGTTGGCACGTATCTATAATTCGTGAGCATTCGGTTGTCTTTCAGAAACTCACCTAGGCGGGGGGGTCAAATGAGCATTTACAGAAATGAGCAAGAGTTTGCATCACACGTGATTATACGTGAAAGTTTTCAGAATGAATATCATGAGACTTGTTTTTCATATGTTTACGCATGGTGCATAGATATAGGGATTTTTTTCCGCGTACAGACAATGCGTATACAGGCAATTGTTTAATTCAGTTTAGCGAGTACTACACACGCGGAAAAAAAAGATTGCTAAAATTGCGAGAAGATTAGTTACTACATGATCAGCAAACTTCGCCAAACCTGTTGAGATTTTTGTTTCGCCAACAAAACGTTTTGTTGACGAGACAAAAAAATTCAGTAGACTCGACAATTTTTTTCTTGCTGGCCATGTAATAGCAAAACTCTCGTTTCCCCGTGTACTGAAGATTGAAAAATTATAAAACACTTTTCAATACAATACACTTTTCAACACTTTAATTTTTAACGTACATATATATATATATATATTTAATAATTAGAGTGTATATGATTATACTGACAGAAAGTCTGCTCGACAGAAAAAAAAATGATAGATAGAACTGTTAAACAAATTAAGGAGAAAGGTGTTTCGAGAAAGGTTCGAGCTAACTGATGTTAAATGGACGAACTGTTACCTGGCGCTTTAACGAGCGTTGCATAAATGGCAATTAGCGTCGCTAATTAAATACAAGTTCATTAGCAACTAATACCTGCTAACGTATTCTAACACGCGTCTATACACCTGTAACTTCTTCGGTAAGAACTTAAAAAAACTTCTCTCGCCCCCTCTCGAGTACACGCGATAACGATCAATTTTGTTTCGCGCATGAGAATTTAGTCCGCTAAATGCAGTTCAAGTACAATAACGTACCT